CGGTGATGATTGGGAGCTTGGTGATCATCCGGCGAAGCTTGTGGATGACCCAAGTCATGTTGTGAGCAGTTGTGGGCGATTCACCACGATGGAGTGTCAAAGAATCAGCCCGTAGAGAGCACTTGATCCTTCCGTGGATCAAGGGGGGAGCTACACCCGTGCATGGGTGCTCCAACAAGGACTAGTGGGGAGTGGCGACTCTCCGATACCTCGAAAAAACATCGCCGTGTTCCTTTTCCTCTCTTTACTTTGAGCATTTACATTTGAGCAATTCATTTCATGTCTTTACATTCCTAGAATTGCCATGCTAGAGTAGGATTGGAATCTATGGTGCAAAACTTTTGTGCGGGAGAACAATAGAAACACATTCTAGGCACAAGGGGTGAAATTGGCTAAGTGTAGGGCTTAATTATTGCAAAAATTTAGAATTAGCCAAATTCACCCCCTTCTTGGGCATCTTGATCCTTTCACAAAGGTCCAATGGAGGGATTGGAGAGGGTAGTACCAAATGAGGAGAGAGAGATGGAGAAGTGAGGGGAAGAAATGAGAGCGGCCTCAGGTAAAGGCTGGTTGCACTGGTTTAAAATTCATAGGTCGACGTCTAGATCTATGCATGGTGCCAAGGTCTAGACGATGACGTCGAGTATGTGGCCACGTCAGCACAACCTCGGCCTCCCATACCACTCTGGTGCCTGATCTCTTGGGTCCAAATTCAGATATAGTTCTGCAAGGGATGTAAATGTGAATATTTATCAAAAAAGGGCTAAAAAAGAAAAATATTAGACCATAGAGCATATATGTATGTTTCTAATTCCCCAGTTCTATCAATGGAACTGTTCGGCTCGTGGTTTTTGTGGCTGATAAGCCGGCCATCCCACTTATTCCCTCCCTCTCTCTTACACGTGGGCCTAGACGTTAGCTCCTCTGCTCCTTCCTCCATACATGAAAACGCAACAGTTGCCCGCTCGTACGAGAGCACGCGTGCTGCTTCCTACACCCGCTCCTCAACCCAGTCCACACCGACTCCTGCCACCCACCTCGACGAGCCGCCACTGCACGCGTTGCTCCTCATCCCCGCACCCCCTCGCTGCGCTGCTGTCCCCGTCGTTCCTCGCGGGCATCCTCTCCGACCTTGCCAAGATCGCCGGCTCCTTCTCGCGGAGCGTGTGGCCACGCGGCGAGGAGAGGGGTCATCGCTGGTCGGGCCCAGGCTAGGCGGAGGTGCAGCTGGTCGCTGCCAAGCCCGCCATCATCCTCGGCCGCCGGCTTGCTAGAATCGGCCGTTCCCCCGCTCTGTGTTGCGTTGTACGGATCAAGGGTGAAAACCACATGTTGCAAGAGTATGTTTCAAGTGTTTCATATGTTTCAAAGGTATGTTGCAAGTGTTGTATATCGATGTTGCAAAAGTAGATCGGGATGTTGCACATATTGGAATCGCTATACATGTATGTTTCAAGTGTATGTTCAAAATATTTCATTTTGTCCAAACATATGATGCAAGTGTTTTATCTAGATGTTGCATATACATGCATGTTTTCTCTGAAAGGACATATACGTGCATGTTTCAAGTGTTTTCATGTGTTTCATACGTATGTTTGCACGTGTTTCAACTTGATGTTGCATATGTATGCAATGGTTTTCAAATATTTTTCACGCATTTTCGCAAGTGTTTCAGACGCTTGTTTCAAATGTTTCATATGTTGCAACTGCTGCATCTGGATGTTTTAAAAGTAGATCGGGTGTTGCACATGGGATGCGTCTGGGAAGCGGCTGGCGAGCGGATGACGTTTGGGGCTGCTTGGGCGACATCAGAGGCGGCGCGGGTGACGTCCGTGGCGGCGTGGGGCCCACTGCTGGTGCGTCCAGGGCGAGGCCGACGCGCTAGACGCTCGCTCCCTCCCTGCGCGGGCAGCGTCCGGACGCTAGCGTCTGGATCGGACGTCCGGGCGCTAGCAAGTTCATAAAATTTATTGTGAAATATATTTTTATAGTATACTTATATTCAGAAACATTCTGGTATATTTTAGTAAACTTAACTAATAAACTATAAAAAGATTGACTTTGGCGAAACTTAGAATTGCATTCTTTCAACAAAGGTAGCTCGTAGCTAGTAGCTCACTTGTCCGAACAAAGGAATGTAAAACTGAGAAATGAAAAAAAAACAAGCAATAAGATAGAGTGAATAGTAAAAACTATAGGATTTCAAAACACAAGAATTGATGGAATCGAGGACAAAACAGTACAGGAACATGAGCAAGCATAGCAAGCAAGCGAGCAGCAAAGATTTTTTCACTTGGGTTGGGGGTGGATGTTTTATTTCTTATGCCTTTGCACTACTATGGCCTTCATTCCTTTGGAAAGGAACTCAACTTTCCTTCATTCCAAACACTATCGTGTGACTCCTTTCCTTTGAAATTTATTCTTTCAAAATTCCTTTGTGCGTCCTTTGATCCAAACTGCCTACTTAATCTGCCATCCGGTGCAGATCCAACGACCCTACCTCTACAACCGGGAGCCTCTCGGAGTGCGGACAATATATCAGCAGTAATACTTCTGGTAGGGCGTCCGTCCATCCAAACGCTCCTGTTGGTAGGCCGCGAGCCTAACACCCCCTTTTATCCTATTCTATTTGCTCGTCCACTCGTTTCCCTACCCTATCATATCTGCTCGTCCACTCATTTCTCTAAAACCCGTCACACAGAAATCACTGCAGCGCCGTGACCGTGCCTCGTCGCGCCGCCTCTGGCGTTAGGGAGCTCGCCGGCCGGCATCTCCACCACGCCCGAGCGCGGCTGCCCGCATTCCTCTCTCTCCATCATGCCTCCTGCCCGCCTGTCTTCCTCCGGGCCCTTGCGTCATCCTCGCCTTGCTCTGGTGCCAGATGTGGCTGCCTCTCTGGCCGCTTCCAACGCCACCCCATGGCACAACCCACTGGCGGTGCATGGTAGATGAACTCCTCTGCCACGTGTGTATGCTGGCTGCCTTGATGCGCCTCCATCCCCTCCTCGCGTAGATGTCTTTCGCGTCGCCCGTGCTGATGGGCGGCCTGCTCGTGGATGATCTTGGACAATAGCTGCTAGGGCGCCGTGCATGAGGTTTCTCGTGTCAAGCGGGCGTGGGAAGCAACCGGTGTAGGCACAGACAGTCCCCGCGTTCTCGATAAGGAGCGGGGTTGCATGCGGTCCCCACGTGCGTGCGGGAAGCAGAGCTGAAGCGCGTGGTTCCCGTGTGCGAGCGGAGGGTGCAGGAAGGGCGACGTACACACAAGTAGGCGCGGGAAACGAAGGAGGCATAGGAAACAGAGGGCATGTTCGGCAGGACTGAAAAATACTGTTCCGGCTGATTGTTGTGAGAGAAAAATACTGTTCTGACAGGACGTGAACAGTGATTTTGTGAGTGGCGGAACAAGCCAGCCGGCTGGCTTTAAGCCAGCCGAATACGCCTAGAGAGGCGTGCGACACAAGCAGGCGTGGGTGTCCAGACACACGTGTCTGTCCGGACGTCGGGACACTAGCATCTCTCATATAGCAGACCTCAGAGATGGTGAAAAACTTTGGGAGTTGGTCAGCAACTACTGCTGCACTGCCCACGCCATGGACCAGTAGTTAGACCTGTCATCCCGACTTGATCTCCGCTACGAAATATAAAAATCTTTAGCGTACGTGGCGTCGATTGAGCAAATGTGCGTGCGTGGTCTAGTTGAGTATCTGTTTTAAAATAGAGAGATGCGTTGTAGCTGTTTAATCTAATGACAACAGATCGTGACGATGAGGCATGCTCTATGCACTGATCTGTGATGGAATGGGAACAAGATAAAATAAGTTAAGTTTAAGTCATAATGTGAGATCAAGTGGGAGAATGTTAGTTTGATCTCCACCGATTGGCCCCTTTGACCGTGTCCTGATCAGGGACACTTAACTGACCACTAGTCGGCGAGCCCCTGTCACACAACGCTATAAGTAAAGAGAAAGGTGAGGGCCAGGGCACGTGAGACGAGGTTCGATGCCGCCACTGACCCACCGAAGTAATACTAGAAGGCCCCTCTGGGCAGCGCTGCAAGTGACGGGATGCCCCACCGGCACCGCCCCGTCCTCTAGACTCCACCGCGCCTACGCTGCTACGACACCGGCGGCCACGTCGCTGCGGCGCCATGGCCGCAACTACCCTAGGGCGAGGTACATCACCAAGTTTCTCCATCTAAATTAAGTTTATCCCTGATCTACGATTTTATAGGTACAATGATTCACACACACGTCTCCACTCCACTCGACTCCACTCCACTCCACCTATATATACTTCCGTGGGGGTTCCTCCAGCTAATCCGGAATGCCCGTGCTCATCAGGGATCATGGCAATCGCGAGCTACACTGGCTGTGGCTCCAGCGCAGCACGGCGGCTAGCACCCACCCGCACAGTGGAAGCCCCGTCGCTACGTAAGGACCCATGTGTTAGCTGCCTGTGAGATAGCGTGACCACGTCAGAGCGCCTGCCATGGCGCGCCAACGGCGAGGAGCTCTCGTGCAGGACAGCACGATCCCGACTTGATCTCCGCGACCAAATATAAAAATCTTCAGCGTACGATGGTGTCGATTGCGCAAATGTGCGTGTAAACATATCCTTTGTTTTCTTTACTGCGCCCAACATCAGTTCGCGTCCATACCCGCGAACCAGGCATATAAACTCAGGTTTCTGCTCGGCGGTTCAGCACAATCGGTTCTGCTCCGATCCCTGATCTCGCTAGTTCATACTTCATACTGGCCCTCCCTCTGCGCGCGGAAGATCGTTCGACTTCACATGGCCGACCGAGGATATTCCACCCTGACCAAGCTAGGCTTGGGCGCCCTGACCTTCAACTCGGCGCTCTCTATCCACAACTCCTGGGGTGACGCCGGCGCCGTGGCGTTCGTGCTCGTTGCGTTCGCTGCGCTCCTGCTGCTCTTCCTCTGCCTCCGTGAGTTCGAGCAGGCCCAAGGAGGGGTGGGCAGGGCAGAGATACGAAGATGATCAAGGCCGCTGCGTGGGCGCTCACGACGCTGCTGACGGCCATGTTCGCGTCCGGGGTGGCGCCGCTCATGCCGCCGGCCGTCGGCGTCCTCGTCTTCATCTGCCTCCGGGACGTCGATCAGGTCCGCGGCGGGGAAGGCGGCTGCGGAATCAACATGGACCGGCAGTATTGCGCGCTTGCCAAGGTGGGTTTCGCCGTGCTGACGTGCAACTCGGCGGTCGACGCCTACGACACCCGGCGTGACCCGGGCTCGGCGGCGTTGATGCTCGTGTCCTACGCGATCCTTGTGATCCTGATTGGCCTTTTCCTCCGTGCATTCGCTCGCGGTCACGGTGGCGAGCACGGGCAGGGGCAGGGGCAGGGTGCAGGGTGCCCCTACTGATGGCTCCAAGTCCGAGCTGGTGTGGTTCATGGCCGTCGCCACCGCCGCCGGAGGATTTTGGTCGTTCTTCCTCAAGCCCTGTGTCGCTGTCTGAATATTTCGTATTTGCACTACCTATCGAATGCGTCGGTTTCCTCGCGTATGTTTTGTGTTGTGCCGCTGGGATTTGCTTGCGTCTATCCCTTGCAATAATAAATTCTAAATTCGATTGACCAAGAACCATTTTTGTGTCACGACCCTACCAGCATCAAGCTCTCGAAGCTCTCGAAGCTCATTCCCTCAATGATCGATGGAGAAACAGTGCCATCACTAATTATTCTGATGAACACTGAGCAAACCAGCACGTCAATGACGATGGAGAAACAAGGCCCAGAATCCAGTGCCGGAGTCCCAGCCGCCAATCAGGTAGACGAACAAGCCGGCGGTCGGCGGCATCAGCGGGGCGACGACCCTGGAGGCGAACATGGCCGTGAGCAGCGTCGTGACTCGTGAGCAGCCAGATCACTAAATAGAACACTAGTAATTATATTATATTTTTACAAAAAATATTATCTAAAATAAACTTATGAAACCAAAATTTAATTACTTAGAAAATATAGAGGTAAAATCACATAAATGGCTAAATTTGTCCAAATTTCATACTAAAGTTCAGTTCGATAGCAAAAATTAAACTCAGATAATATTTTGGATGGTTAGAAAAGACATTGGCTAATGGCTACTGATCAAGGGGAAACAAATACCGAATGGGCGAATGAGGAGCTCCAAAATTTCCATTTTTTAGACGGACGAGCACCAACATTCTACTGGATTGTTCCGTGGTGGCCGAGAGACAAGACAAGTGCCTTGAGCCATGCCCAAAGATCTGTTGGCTGATTTATTGTGAGAGAAGAAGAATCACTGCTCATTCGCTGAAAAAGTACTGTTGTTCCGAACTTTCAACTTTCTCGTTTGATTTCGTGGACGAGTACGATTAATGCTCAGTAGTGGGCAGGATACAGGTCAAAGATACTGACAAGTGGAGACAGCGACCGCCTCACCGGTGACCTCTATTCATCGCTGGTCAGTCCTCATCTTTTTCTTACAAGGAGCTTCGGTAATCCCTAGATAACAGATTTGAACTGGCCCCTCTGCTCATTTTATGGCTCATGTGGCAAACTTTTTTTTTTTGAGTAACATTTGGCAAACTTTTACAAACAGCGAATACAGTAGAACGAAAAAGCACAGAGTACTGTGCATAATAACCATAGTAGTACAAGTACAAAAAATAGAGGGGCTTGCAGTCTCACTCGTAGTCCGTACACGACATAATTACACATCGTCTCCGCCTGTCTGCAGTGCAAATTTTGTGCTCATTCTTTGTTTCACGCAATGTTCGCCCTGGATTCTCCGCAAATTCATCGTGAACGCAGATAGGTTTTTATGGATTCTTGTCCTCATTAGTCAAAATATATAAAACATTATACACGTCGAAGAAAAGATTTGGCTTTGTTTTGCGGCTGCTCACCTCACCAGTCACCATGCTAGCTGTTCGTTTTATGCAACTGTTTGCGAGGTACAGATTTTCATTTTTCCTTTTTGCATGGATGTGGATTGAAAAAGTCGTCTAAGACGCATTGTTCCTTTACCTTTGTTGGGCTGCCGGTCGCCATCACCCTCTCTTTCTCTCTCTCTCTCTCTCGCATGGAGATTATGGTCACAATGATCTGTTTGGTTGATGGTTTTGCGGTGATAAGTTTCTGATCTTTGTTTTGTTTTGACAGAAAAACACCGTATCTACTACCGATATAAGACGGGACGATAAGTTCAAGCGAACAGGGCTGCTGAAAATTATCATGCTCATGCCACCTCTTCCGATGCTTACAAAACCATAGAGTACACAGTGTCAGCACCGATGTTGAATTCATGTGGGACATGTCATCAGTACAAGATTCTTTGATATCTCTCACCTTCACCTGAGAAGAAAATAGTAATTTATCCATTAAGCATCGATGCATGTGCATGACCCGAGTAGGATGTTTTTGATTCCAGCATCGCCTCCTGCAGTGGTATGCTTCGATGTCTGGACCTCTCTCTTTGTTCAGGCATCGGTTGAACACGACGTTCATGGCCGTCGCCACCGCCGCCGGAGGATTCTGGTCGTTCTTCCTCAAGCCTTGTGTCGCTGTCTGAATAATCCGTATTTGTACTACCTATCGAATGCGTCGGTTTCCTCGCGTATGTTTTGTGTTGTGCCGCCAGAATTTGCTAGTTTCGTCAGTTCCCATGCAATAACAAATTATAAATTCGATTGCCCAAGAACCATGTTTGTAATTTGCGGGCCGACGTGGGCTCCGTTTGATTCGTCCGCGGACGCCGCGCGTTCGTGCTCCTCTGCAACCGTGAGTTCGAGCAGGGCTAGCAGGGCGCCGAGGGCAAGAGTAGCAGGCCGCCGTGTGGGCGCTGACAAAGCTGGACTCGAGCATGGCGCCGCTGATGTCCCCGGTCCTGGCCGGCTGGCCTCGGGCGTCTGGCTCATGGCCGTCGTGACTGCCCAAGGCGGCTTCTGGGACGGGCACGTGACATGCGACGTTTTACCTAAACGTATACTTGTGTAAACAAATAATAGAATCCTCCAGATAAGGTCATGTATTTTTTTAGAACGATGATAAGGTCATCAAAAATAGGATTTTTGCCATTGATCTACCTTCCACCATATTGTCTATTGCTTAACGATCAATATATTATTTTAAAAGTACTAACAAATATGCCCGTGCGTTGCAACGGGAGGAAAAAAACTATCAAGCATTCATGCAAAACGATGACGTGAATAGTACATATCACCTTATGTTTTATCCTTTTATAATTTATTTTATGATGGCCGTGACATCCATAATATAAGTTAATGTTAACAATAAATAACAATGTCTTACTAAACCTATATCAATTTGAAATACACATTGGTATATTTTTCCTTTCATTGCAAAGCACATAATTATTTAGCTATAAGTATATCATAACTTTAATTTTTCATAATTGTTTCTATGACTCAATATAGACCTTTGTAGCTTTTTTGATGCATCATATCAACCTCCGTAATTTTTTTGTCAATGTGTTAAGGATTTGTCTGTCCACTAGTGATTGAGACCTCTCTTGAATTTTCAGACGGCAGTCTTCGTCAGGAATTATATAAATACATTTGTATAGATTTTATTAGATAATAATCTATGAAGTTTTCGGTTCATTAAATATTTAGTTGTGCCGTAAAACTGGTTTGGCATTTTTATGATTTTTCTACGATTTTGACGAATTTTGCAATATCTCTGTTTTAATAGAAAAAGAGAAAATGAAAGAAAACGAAAAAGGCTTGCATAGGCTTGGTTCAGCCCACAACGAAGCCGGCCCAACTACAAGGATTCAACCCAGGTCAAAAAAAAAAAAAAACCACAGGAGAGAGTCCACTCGAATCTGGACATTTTGCATCGTGAACCCTAATATATTTTAAAAATTGTTAAGGCCCTTCCGCCTTTTCTTTCTCTCTAGTATCTTTACATCCGAACCCTATATTTCTTTTTATTCTTTTCCCTACTCCTAATCTCTGTTGGCAACGAGACCGAGATCGAGCCGGTGAGACTTGGGGGAGGAAGAGGCGAAAAAAAATACGGCGAAAATTTTGACTTTTTATTATTAGGTATAGATTTTGACAAATAATATGTTATTTGATGAGATTTTGTACGTGGGACTTGTGCATAATCTATAACTAATCTAACGAATCAAATCTTGTCATAAGCCCAGGCGATGTTCCACTGTGGCTGAAGGTTTGTACGCACTTTTCCTTGTTGGCTTGTTCCCTGGTTACTACTCCCAGGGGCGGCTGCAGGACAGACCGTGGTGGTTCGTTGATGCTGCATGCCTGAACGCTCACCAGTCACCAGGGGCGGCTGCAGGACAGACCGTGGTGGTTCGTTGATGCTGCATGCCTGAACGCTCACCAGTCACCACGATGTTCACTTGCAAGGTACAACGATTTTCATTTTCCCTTTTGCGTCGGGGTGGATTGAAAAAAACCTTTGTGGGGCTGCCGGTCGCCATCACGAGGTTGTCGTCCCCGCCGCCCCCCCCGTCACAATGATGTCACTGTAAGAGACCCAAACCCAGTCAACCAAAAACAGAATTATGTACAAAACTCGGTTTCTGTTGTTGTTTATTTAGGCAGCTTCCGTTCCTCCGTGCGTTATCTATATTTTCTTACAATATTTCACATATTTTACATCACAAAATTATATTGTATCAGGCCTTTAGAGTTTAGGCTAAAAACCATTTTTTTACAACTAAACCATTATTTAACCACCAAATATAAAACCAGATATCTTAGAGCAACTCCAAGAGTATAATTTTTAATTGATAGGAATAAAGATTTTGATAAAAAGTACTCTTGAACAGTTCTTTATTTGGTTATCTAAATATGACCATCTTTTAATTTGGATTTCTCGCTAGCCAAAGGTAGAAAGCGAGAACGACTCTCTAGAGTGCACAAGACATAGAAAAACTATTGGAGAGAGAGCAAAGATATAGCAAGCGATTTTTATACAAATGGCTCTCCAAATGATGATTTAGAGACTGAGCTTTACAAATACTCATGGAGATGCTTTTAGACCGTGGTACTATAAAAACCATGAAAAATTGACCCTCTAGTGTGGTTTCAATGGTGATTTGTCAATATATGTATTTTCTAAAGATAATAAATAATTTGTTTTAATCTCAAAATTCATGATTAATTTATTTTAATCAGAAAAATATTAATTGGTATTATTTTTTTCTGAAATATATTTCCATTGGTGATCTATTTATTATCTGTTCCCGCTGCTAGTGTTTTATTATTTGGAGTCTTAACCTTTCTTTATTTAAATTAAATTTTGCTCTTTTTCTTTATGCTTGTGCCTCTATTAGTTGATTGTATGATGTTTGAGCCCCTACCTTGTTTGAAACCTAGTATTACGTAGTCAAGCGATCAAATAAAGTAATGTGCTAGCCATAAAAGAATTGGAAAAAGTCTACTTAACCCCCCACCTTTCATACATGGTCTACTTCACCCCCCAACTATGAAATTGTTTGTTTTACCCCCTAAACTTTCCAAAACCGTCTATTTTACCCCCCGGGTGGTTTTTGACAGCGGGTTTGCTACAGTAATGGTGGTTTTGAATTTTTTTATTTATTTTCGGTGAGTTTTTGAAAAATCATAGAAAAATCATAAAATGAAAAATATAATTTTATTGGACTTCACATGAGTAGATCTACACAGTGAATATATAATACGGTATGCTTTAGTACAAATTTTTTTTGTAGCTTTAGATTAATTGGAAAATCTAATTTTTTCTGTAATTAATTAGAATTTATCTATAACTAAGTTATACATAGTCCAATGAGTACGAAATTTTTACTATAGTTCAAGCATACAATAATTAGCGTACCATAAAAATTTCACCATAATTGGACCATAGAAGCTGCAACTATGAATTATTCCAATTAATTACAGATAAAATTAGATTTTCCAATTAATCTAACGCTACAGTAAAAAATTTGTACTAAAGCATACCGTATTATATATTCACTATGTAGATCTACTCATGTGGAGTTCAACAAAATTAGATTTTTTATTTTATGATTTTTCTATGATTTACTGTGATTTTTCAAAGATTCACCGAAAATTAAAAAAAAGAAAATTCAAACCGCTGTTACTGTAGCAAACCCGCTGTCAAAAACCGCCGGGGGGGTAAAATAGACGGTTTTGGAAAGTTCAGAGGGTAAAACAGACGATTTCATATTTAGGATGAAGTAGACCATGTATGAAAGATAGGGGTTAAGTAGACTTTTTCCTAAAAGAATTTTGTGTGGTGGAGCGTGTCATCTGCGAGATTGTTGTTGCCTTCAAGGTCTCCCACGTGACTCAGAGACCGTTGGATCCTTTTGGCCAATCTATTAAATGTAACACAAAACAAATTGAAATAAATAGCTAGCGTGGCAACTAGCAATAAAACATTAGCAACATGAGAAAAAAAAGGTCCAAATAACTCTAAATAGAACACTAGTAATTAGATTATATTTTTAGAAAAATATTATCTAAAATAAACTAGTTACAAATGTATAGAGATTAAACCAAAATTTAATTATTTAGAAAATATAGAGGTAAAATCACCTTAAAGGCTAAATTTGTCCAAATTTCATACTAAAATTCAGTAGTCAAAGATATATGGTTTTTGAATTCGATAGCAAAAATGATGATATTTTGGATGGTTAGAAGAACATTTGCTAATGACTACTGATCAACAGGAAACAAATACCGTATGGCCGAATGAGGAGCTCCAAAATTTCCATTTTTTAGACGGCCGAGCACCAAAATTCTACTGGATTGTTCCGTGGCGGCTGAGACATAAGACAAGTGTCTTGAGCCAGTTGGTAAACCATGCATCAAAAATAATGTTATCCTTACCCGGTTCCAAACTTTCAACTTTCTCGTTTGATTTCGTGGAGTTCGATTAATGTTCACTAGTGGGCACTGAGCAGGATCTAAGGTACTAAATAGCGTTTGTATGGTTGGTATAGCGGCCACAATAGCGGTAGCGGACGTATCAGCTTGGATATAGCGGGTTGAAATTTAGCGTCCGCTATTTAACGCAGCAAACCGCAATGGCAGCCGTTATTTGACGTAGCAGTTTGCTATAGTAGCCTAAATCTAGAACATAACTAATTCATTCTTAATTTAAGATATATTAGATCGAGAATCAACTCTTCGAATACTATTAAATATCTATTTACACTACTTAAGCTATATGTTTATTAGTCTATCATTGATTTGTATTTGATTGTTTTTTTAATGTGTTAGCCAGTTATTTTTTAAGATGTACAAACACCTAATTTATATAGGATTATTAGACAATGCTATTGGAACTTAGCGACTGCTATATAGACGTTAATTCGCTACAGGCCTGCTATCTGTTATTTTTTATCTTGCCCAGGACCTGAAGAAGCCGCGGCAGAGTTGCAGGTGATGAGGACGCCGAGGCCTAGCGTGGTCAGGAGCGAGGAGCGGCCATCGCCGCCGCCGTCCATGTCCATTCGTAGCGTGGCACCGTGCCTGAGGCCCGGGTGTCTTATATACTAGTTTGGTTCGATGCTGTGAACGGAACTGTAAAGAAACCAAAGCTAAATTTTTTCTCCGACGTGTATAATATTTTACAATTATAATCTGAAAAACAATGCACACATACGGGCTGTACCGACTGAAAAACAATGAGAAGTTGTCAATGTCAGTCCGGCACCATTTGATAGTCAACTTTTGAGCAAGTATAATCTGACGAAATAAACGGCCAGCTTACGAGCACAATCCACATATAATTGATTAGGGCATCTTCAAGAGACTCTCCATATCCTTCATAAATGATAAGAATAGAGATTTTGGTGAAAAACTATTCTCCAACAGCTTCTCTAAATGGTTATCCAAATATGACCATCTTCTATTCCGGATTTTTCACTAGCCAAAAATAGAAGACGAGAATGACTATCTAGAGTGCGTATGAGATATAGAAGAACTGTTGGAGAATGAAAAGATATAGAAAATGATTTTTATGCAAATAACTCTAAATAATGATTTAGAGAGTAAGATTTAGAAATGCTGTTCGATGCTGGAATCCACAGAGACCTTTTTTAGCCGCGTTCACCGAAAGAGCAAGTATGCAGGAGCTCACCACGTCGGGAACTAGCTAGCTGAGGCTGCTCGTTAACCGGCAGAGAATCAGTGTGATCTACAACCGTATTTCACATGGCGGACCCGCAGTATTCCACCCTCACGAAGCTAGGCTTCGGCGCCCTGATCTTGAACTCGGCGCTGGCCATCTACAACTCCTGGGACGACGCCGGCTCCGTCGCCTTCGTGCTCGTCGCGGTCGCCGCGCCCTTGCTGCTCGTCCTCCGCCTCCGTGAGTTCGAGATGGCCACGGTGTGGGCGCTGACGACGACGCTGCTCACGGCCATGTTCGCCTGGAGGGTGGCGCCGATCTTGCCGCTGGCCGTCGGCGTCCTCGTCTTCCTCTGCCTCCACGACGTCGATCAGGTCCGCGGCGGGGAAGGCGGCGCCAGGATGAACATGGGCGGGCAATACTCCGCGCTGGCCAAGGTGGGCCTCGCCGTGCTGACGTGCAACGCGGCGCTCGACGCTTACGACGTCCGGCGCGACCCGGTCTCGGCGGCGATCGTCTTCGTGTCCCACGTCGTCCTTGTGGCCCTGATGGGTCTTTTTGTCCGTGCATTCGCCCAGGCTCGCGCCAGCGACTAGGGGCAGCACTAGCTAGGGGACGGGGAGTGGTGCGGTGCTCACGGCGATGTTGGCGTCCTGGGTGGGCTCCGCTCATGCCTCCCGGCCGTGGCGTGCTGCGGTGCTGGTGTGGGTACGTATTGCTGGGTTCTGGGCGTTCTTCCAGAATCGTCGGTTTCCTCGTGTTGTCTGAATCCGTATTTGTTGCATTGCCTATCAATCAGAATCGTCGGTTTCCTCGTGTGTGTTGTGCCGCCGGAACTGCTTGTTTCGTTAGTTCCCCTGCAATAAATTCGATTTGTGTCTCTCTGTTGTCTGCTCCATTCAGTGATCACCGGCCGTGGGTTCGTCCCCGCGTGTGGCTCAACACGATGCTGCTCACGGCCATGTTCACCTGGCGGTGGCGGGTCCTCGGCGCTCATGCCGTGGCTATCGTCTCGATTGCTGTCTGCTTGATGGCCGGTTCCACGGTGGCCGAGGGTTTCTACGCACTGTTCCTTGTTCCTGCTGGTATCTGCGTAATGGGCGGTTCCACGGTGGGTCGGTGGCTGAGGGTTTCTACGCACTGTTCCTTGTTGTTCGCTTGTTCCCTGGCTACTACTCCCAGTCCCAGGGGCGGCTGCAGGACAGCAGGAGACCGTGGTGGTTGATGCTGTGCATGCCGGAACCGATTCGGATTGCCCCGCGAGGAACCGGGGGAGGTCGCATGTTGCGGCTGCTCACCAGTCACCAGTCACCAGTCACCACGCTAGCTGTTCGCTTGCAACTTGCACGCAGGAGCCGCGGCAGGGGTATTTTTATGCATTCCTATCCTAGTATTCCTATGTATTGAGTATACTATAATGTCTAGTGCTCCTAATTCTTTCTGATTTGGAGAAAATTGTTTTTAAAATATCCTAATGTAAAATCCTGGCTATGCAACTATTTGCGAGGTACCGATTTTTATTTTTCCTTTTTGCATGGATGTGAATTGAAAAAGTCTAAGACACATTATTGTTCCTTTGCCTTTGGTGGGGCTCCCGGTCGCCATCACGATCTCTCTCTCTCTCTCTGCGCGTGGAGATTACGGTCACAATGATGTCACTGTAAAAGACCCAAACCCAATCCAAAAACGCTGTTTGGCCGTAAAGAAAAAGAAGACAGAAAGAAACTCTCTCTCTCTCTCTCTCTCTCTCTCAAAAAGAGTTGTCCGTAGCTGCTGCTGGTCTCCGGAGACTTCAAAGGAGGACGAGGCACAGCTCATCGGCTGCTGCTTGTGCGGTGACGGCATAACGGTGTGTTGCCGATTGCGAGACGGCGTGCACGTGCGCTGCTTGGTTCGTCCGTGCGGGGCATGAAGCCCGGGCCCACATGATGCTCCCGTCTGTCCTGGCCATGTGCCGAACCGCAGGCGAGCGCGCCGGCCGTGTCCGTGTGGCTCCTCACCGCGATATCTCCACACCGACCACTACCAAAGTTATTAGGACCGGACCGGAGATTGAACCGGCAAGACCGTCGGTTCACTGGTTCACTGGTCCAACCATTTAGAACCGGTTGAACCGCTGGTTCAATTGTTTTGGACCGGTTAAATCAAACCGGTCACAAATACATTGAACCGGCATATAACCGGCATATATATATATGCTATAATTAATAATTGATAAATTGTAAACAACACAATTTAATTGTACAACCATAAGGTTCATACATATGTAGAGAATAACATGTTCTTAAATTCAAAACATACAAGCTCCACAAGTTTTAGTGTTCCAGAGTTGTTTTATAATATATATATATATATAAACAAATAGAAACATAATACATGGAGCACTTACCAATTAGTGCAAAAAGGACTTGAATAGTAATTCAAATATTCACCATTGCAAAACAATCTTAAATATTAAAATAAAGTGCGCTATTGCGAAGAGCTCGTTGAGATAATCAAAACGGATATTATTTGACTAATTTGGAGTTGGTATGACAAAGATATAAATTTTGAATTTTAAAAGGCACCGACGCCAAAGCAGCCAAAATTCAAACGTAGCTCAAATGCATGCATGTCAATCTGTAGCAGCGTGAACCACCACCGGTGGTAATAGCTAAGCAGGGGACGAAAAGGGCTACCAACAGCAGCTGCAGGCACACGCGCCACCCACGAACCAATCAGCAGCATGCTGCGGTGCTGCTCGCAGATGACCATGACCAGCAAGAAACCGTCCGGTCCGCATGGAACCGCCCGGTTCGCCGGTTCCTTAAAAAACCGGCCTGACCAGCAAGAAACCGTCCGGTCCGCATGGAACCGCCCGGTTCGCCGGTTCCTTAAAAAACCGGCCGGTTCAACCGGTTTTTAGCGGTCTGATTGCATGAACGGTCTTTTAAGTGAACCGAGCCGGTGTAGTCTCTGGTTCGGTCTTTTACCGGTCCGACCGCCGGTCCGGTCCGGTCCAAATAACTAGGACCACTACCCGAGGGAGAACAACGGCGCCGCCTGGAGCGGCATGATCGAGTTGGAGTTGCACTAGCGATGGCAGCCTTTGGTCACTTTCTCCGTTTCTCGTTGAGTTCGACGACCGCGCCAATAGCCGGGTCCCGCACCCGGATCCATGGGCCGGTGGGACCCGGCCTAGCTGCAGATGACGATATATATGCTGCTCACGGCGATCAGTCCGGTGGCGTCGCGTGCCTGATGCTGCCCTGAAGAAACCAGCCAGCCGGCTGGTTTTCCCTCACGTGGCACTATTCATCCATCCAGCTAAACAGTGTTTCTCTCTCACAGAACCAGTCAATTTCAGCCAAGATTCTGCCAGCCGAACGGGGCCTTAAATAGACGCGTTCTGCAGTAATACGTGCAACGTGAGTGGTACATATTAATTAGTTACATGGCGTACGGTCACGGTCTGTGTCGTGGTTATTGTACGTATTCTCGGCGGGAAGGGCATGTTGGGAATTTAATTTCGTCACAAAACACAGCCCAAACCTTGGAGCTAAATTCTTAAGATTCCGTAACGAAATTTGTTTGCAGAAAAAAGAAAAAAGCGAAGCCAACATTTCAACTTCGTATGAAAAGATTTGACTTCGCAAAGAAGAAGGAGAAATCAAGATAAAGAAGAAGTCAAGACCAAAGCGAAGACAGAAGTTTAACTTCGCGGGTAAAGATTTGGCTTCGCTGATTAACGAAGACAAAGAAAAACAGAGCAGAAATCGACTAAGACAAAAGGCAGAATTTCCCTGAAGAATGATGGCCAAATAGAGGGATGAAGACTGAAGTAGTGTAAAATGACCACTTCGCCCTTATAGTTGAGAAGGGTTGTAAATATTTGAGTTAGGGGTAAAATAGTCATTTTATGTAAGATACGGAAGACTGGAGCCCTATAAATACCCCTCTGACATATACAGTACGATCATGGAATGAATAATTTTGATGCTTGAGTAATTTCTTACCCAACATCTGGCGCCCACCGTTTGTGTGTGCTCGAAAACTCCCACGACCACGCGAAGCTAATGGGCAGACCTAACAAGAAAGTTACCACTGAGGTAACCGAAGATGACCCACCAACAGTCGAAGACCAAAGTCTCGAAAAAGATGCACCCCAAGACCTAAGTTCTTCAAAAGCAAGCGAAGCCAAAGAACAAGGACTCAAAAAATTAGACGAGCAAGTGCTGAGAAAGCAAAAAGAACTTGAAGAATGTCGCACAAGAGTAAGAGAAAAGTCTCTCAAACAAAGAATAGAAGAAGCCGAAGCCATCCTTCGTGAACTAAATGAACAACTCCAAAATGCAAGCCATGAAGTTATACATTTAGATGAACCAAATTCAGCAACAAAAGCTTCTCAAGAGAAAAATTCCCAAAAGTCATTCATATCAATTGACACAAGCTCTCCCTTGTCAATAAACTTGCAGCTAGCACATTGGCCTTTGGGGTACAAATTTAACATGATACCAACTTTCGACGGCCAATCTGACCTGAGGCAATTCTTGATGAGTTTTGAAGCTACAGTAATTTCTGGAGACTGCGATGAAATAATATTGGCAAAATCTCTTGTCATGGCAGTTAAAGGACCAGCACAACAATGGTACTCTTCGCTGAAAGCAAAATCCATATATTCATGGGATCAACTAAAGCAAACTTGCTTGTTGACTTTCAAAGATTTCAACCAGCTGGCCTCACAGACATAGATCTGTTCAGTTGCAAGAAGCAAATCAAAGAGCCCCTGAGTCAATATTTCAAAAGATTCATCCAAATCAAGGCACAAATTCCAAATATCCCAGATGAAGTGGTAATAATAGCTGCAATTAAAGGGCTTCAAGTAGGCCAATGCGCTTCTCATCTTGCTCGAGAAAAATCAAGTACAGTCGCTGAACTTTACGAAGTCATTCAAAAATATTACAAGTTAGATGACGACTACAGAAAAAGAATTGAAGAAGAAAACAACTTCAGGGCTCAAATCAAGCAAAGCAACAACAACTTCCATCCACCAAGACCAAACAACTATGAGCGAAGACCATTTACACCGCACAATCAAGTCAATCAAATTGAGAATGACAACAATTCAACAGCTGAAAGTGATTATGCTCACCAAAACCAATATAACCAGCGAAGTCAATTCAATAAAAGAACATTTGAAAGAGGAGGCTTTGCCACAAGAGGAAGAGGAGGAAGAGGAAGAGGCAGAGCACCTTTAAAACCTGAAGATATGTACTGCATTATTCATGGCAAAGGGGCTGGACATACATCTAAAATGTGTCAAGCCCTACTTATTATCAATCATGTGAGGCAAGAACAGCAAAGTTCTCAACAAACTTATTATCCAATGCATTATGGACATGTCCAAGCCCTACTTCCAGGGCCACCTCCTGCATACAGCTATGAACCACTAGCAATGTATCATCCCATGCAAGATCAATGGAGGCAAAATCAATCTCAGCAATCCAATGTTCAATTAGCACAACCCGAAGCTTCAGTTGCAAACAACAACCCATAAAACAGCCAGGCTAAGCAAGAGAACAACTCCCCATCACTTTCAGCGGTAAACAATAATGCA